TTGAATTTCCCTTTAGCTAAGTTTTGGGATGATTTAAATATGCAAGACTACCAAGATTTTTTTTAGTAGTTATGACAGAGCCGTGATGGCTCAGAGGTATAGGTAGTTTTTATAGTTAGTCCGATCAGACCATTATGAAGGTAAACCAGTTTACGAAAGAAACATTTAACAGAAAATCTATTAAAAATTAGAAAGTAGAGTAGCAAATATATGTCTAAAAATTTGTTTAATTTATGAATATGATTAGTTGGTTTGTCTTACTTACTTGTCAGCCACTACAGATTCAATTCCAAACATATATGATAAATTTTTCTCAAGTACTTTTAAAATAGAATTTGCTTCATGCCCACAACTGGTTTACTTTTTAAATAGTTTGCGCAGACTGCTTAAAAACAACAGTGTGGAGGCTTTCTGATGTAGGAGGTGATGGATAGAGCGTTCACCTTTCAATGAGGTGAACTGGGTTTGAATCCCAGCAATGGCTGGTCGATACGAATTCCACACATTGCTATAACTGACCACAATGGTGACGTAAAATATCCAGTGGTACATGGATCATGGGTTAGAGTCTCCTTGCCGGTTTCATGGTTTTCTTCTCCATGTAATGCAAATGCGGATTAGTTCCATCAAAATGTCCTCCTCGACGGCAATTTTCTCCCTATACTTGATCTAGGAGTTTCCTTGTTCTCTGGATTAGGTTCAAAACTACAAGGCTACGGAGTTGAACATTAGTAGTCGTGAATCCAAAAATTGGATCAACTGTTCTATGACTGTTATAAAATCTAAAATAGTTGTAGCAGACATATAGGATTGTTGTCTTCCTCAAGAGAAAGTAAATAGCGATTAGCAGTTTCTGATTTAGGATACACTTTAGCACATTTTACTCCTACTAAAATATGCTGTAAATGAAATGGTTCAGCTGACGATTTTTTTCTCTTTTCTATCTAATTCTTAGGCCTGAGCCGTAATCTTAACACTAGGGGTTTACGGGACGCGTCATTTTGACGCATTTCGAGTCTTGTAAGGAAAATTATAAAACCCGTTTGAATTTTTCTTTTATCTCTTGTAATGACTTTTACCCATTGGTCGAGGTAAATATATATTGAAGTCTATTTTCTTCAAAAGCGTTGAAACGTAGAAATTCTCTATGTGGTATACCCATCTCTACGGATATGCGTCAATTTGACGTGATCATAATTTAGACAAATTTTTGAGTAAACATGCAAACATTGCATCAATAATAAGTAGGAATGTACCGACAATACTTCGATCCGTTATCCGATATCGTTATCTCAAATGAAACAAGCAATAAACAACTGTTGCCGATAAGTAATAATAGAAAAAACAAACGCAGAATGTCAGCTGATGTCAGAGTGTTAGATTTTGAAGGCTTCAGTTGCTTAGTTCGAGTATTGAAAATAAAATACTAGAATATTTCATAAATATAGATCTCTTATTTTAATTTTCTTCTGTTAGTATATAATTATATCGCTTTCTAAGTGCAGAGATGCCAACTGCTTCGGACACGCCAAAATAATTTAGAAAACGGTAAATAACTACTACATAAATTTTGCAATACAAAGTGGTGAATTACATAAGCCTACAAATTATTTAGAAATAGCGGTGGATAAAAATCTACTAAATTGAATTTATTAAACCAAGAATTACAATTAATAAACTATCACTTTAAAATATATATTTGCTGTCCGGAGCAAGTTTGCATCACTGTAAGTGCTGTTATATGTATTCGTCAGATTGACGCGTGTTCGTAGAGATAGGTATATAAGAAAAGTCCGTAAACCTACTGTTAACATCGTTCTTCATTTTTCTACTAACTCCCAAACCGAAAATACTATGTTTTAATCTTGCGTCTCCGAAGTGACACATTTACTGATACACCAAAAGTGCACAATATTACACAAGTGGTTTACCCAGGGGCCTATATATATCAAAGAGGAAAAGAGCGAAAACTGGTGTGAAAAACATTTCATTCTAGCATTTTTTTTCCCGAGAAAAATAACATTTTTGTAATTACCAAGATTTTTTTATAATCATAGCATTTATATAAAACTACTCATTTTACTTTAATTGTGGGAAGAATTAAAATACTTCCACAACTTCAACCAAAAATGTTCAACATACCAATACCAATAGTTAAAAAAGCAAATTATCTTGGCCTTATAATCAATAGCAAACTCATCAAAAGCACAATAGATAAAGCAAATGCAGCAATAATAGCCATACAACCATTAATATATAATCAGAATATGTCACTTAAACTAAAGAAGCTACTATATACAGCAATGATCCGCCCAATACTTACCTATGCCTCACCTGCCTGGACAACGATACCTCAACATCTACTGAAGAAATTAAACCAATGCCAAAACAAGATCCTTAGAAAAATAACCTGTGCAAGATGGTTCATCCGGAATACCAATATACATGCAGACCTCAAAATACCAACTCTATCACAGCATATATACAAGCTAAACGCAGATTTTTTCGATAAAGCCATAGAATGTAAAACAGCAAATTTTAATGAAATCTTTAAATTTGAAAATTATATCAAAGATAAAAACTACAGACCAATAGCTGCACATTTCACCTCCGACGCCTCATATCATAACTATCAAAACAAATAATTTCATCAACCTTTCTGAAAATAACGTTTACTCATGCTGATACAATTCTGAACAACTCCAAAATCAAACAAACACAGTTTAGAGCAAGCTGCTCAATTTATTTTTGATTCCTTTTTAGTTATTCAAGCAAAGAGCTTGAAACATTCATAAAAGCAACTCCATTGCCTGCTTACCTCATTGCTCAACCAAAACTGTTCTAAAATTCCAGATGAATGGGATAGGGGCCGCTTCGCGGCCCAGGTGCCCAATAAGATCAAAACACTAGGACTAGACATTAATTGTGGGCTCACCATCAAGCCTGCTACATCTTTCATCATGCCTTTCTTTATTTTATTGCATTTCAGGTTCTTTTCCGAACCACCAATACAACTTTCTTATGTATGTCCCTTTGGGATATTTCATGATGAATGGGATAAGGACCATTTAGGCCTCAGATGCCCAGTTCTAAAACAACGAACGAACGAATCTTTAATTGTGGGTAATGTTAAATAGTATGAAAAAGAAAGAATATTTTTTCCCCTCTAGAACATTAATTATAATTAAAATGGTTTTGCTACCAGTTTTTCTTTTCCGTCTCGATTTCGCCTCTGGGATTACCCTGTGTGCATAAATGCCAACAGCTCCGGAAACGCCAAAATAATAATAAAAAAAATACGGTAAATAAGTACAAAGTAAATTTTGCAAATATTTGACTCTTTTTGCTTGCGTTTTAAAAGGTATAACATGACATAAGTACCATAAAGAATCACAATTAATAAACTACCACTTGAAAATATGTATTTGCTGTCCGGAGCAAGTTGGCATCTCTGTATTTGCATGAAAATTTCACCATAGCCACCACACAGTCTGCTGAACACAAAAAGTTCTCATTACAACTACTCATAAAATCACGATGGATGGGATAGGGACCGCAGCCCAATTACCCAGCTAAGTTAAATAAAGAATGTTCCTTTTAGACCACTTACATACCTGCCAACTCTTCCTGATTTTCCGGAAGATTTTATTTTCATATTTAAAGTGGTAGCAATACTCAGGTTATTCCAATTAACTTTTTGGATTAAAATGATAATTATAAATGAGTTTGACCACCACAACATATAAATAATTATAATAAATATATCAAATCATAATAATCCTTGCGGAAGCGAATTTCAACGGGATCGAAATATAACTATATTTTTGAGTCAGATTGTTTTCCATTTATTGTTTTACAACCACTCTGAAAATCCATTCTCGGAAAGAGTGAAAGTTGGCAGGTATGCACTTACCGACAGGGCTGAAAGCCCATATATATCAAGACGGAAAAGTGTAAAAACTGGTAACAAATAAATTTCATTTTTTAGATTTTTTTCAGGAATAATAAAAATCCATAACTACCAATTGTTTTTAACGAATACAATTTTTATACTGAATTGCTCCCTTGCCGAGAAAAAATACATACAACTTCACTGATATTTAGGACCTCCTAAAATACGACAAAACAGATTCGATGAATCGGTTAGTGGAGCTTCGCGCCAAACGCCGACATAACCCCAGCATCCAGGCGAGAAAAAATACATACTACAACTTCATTGATATTTAGGACCTCCTAGAATACGACAAAACAGATTCGATAAATCGGTTAGTGGAGCTTCGCGCCAAACGCCGAGATAACCCCAGCATCCAGCCGAGAAAAATTACATACTACAACTTCATTGATATTTAGGACCTCCTAGAATACGACAAAACAGATCCGATGAATCGGTTAGTGGAGCTTTGCGCCAAACGCCGAGATAACCCCAGCATCCAGCCGAGAAAAAATACATACTACAACTTCATTGATATTTAGGACCTCCTAGAATACGACAAAACAGATCCGATGAATCGGTTAGTAGAGCTTTGCGCCAAACGCCGAGATAACCCCAATATCCAGCATCCAGCCGAGAAAAAATTTATTACAGTGAATTGTTTATTGTTCAGAATAGATTTACTCCTCCCGAATATTATCTAATATTGAAATGATTCTCCTACCAGTATTTTCTATTTTCCGTCCTGCTTTCAGGCCTGCTTAACGATAAAGTGGTATATTAAAATATGAAATATATTCTAGCACTATCCTAAATATATTACCACTATTAAAATTTTTCAAGGGAACCCTGTGAAATAAAATGCTGTAAATCTTTCTTAATTTTGATATATTTTTGAATTTTGTAAGTCAGTATTTTTAGTCGCCCGTGGCATTCGTGTAACAAAATACACCCACACCTTCCAAAAGGTTACGTTAAACTCTTAGACACAAAATATATAAAAATGGAATGATGTTCAAAAAATTCTAGTAATTCTTTTGTAATTAATTTATCCATATTTTTCTTTTAGGTAAAAGTAAAAGTTATGTGTATAGATGGCCCTAAGGCATTAACCTTCAAATCAGCTGTCACATGTGATTGTGATCATTGTAAGAAACCCTTTAAAGAAGTTGTCAACATGGTTTAAAAATAGATACAATTTCTATAATATGATATGAAATGATGTTTAAAAAAATAAATAAAATATTTTGAGTGTGTCACGTTTCTTTTTATATCGAATTATTGCTTTCATACTTTTTTCGGATTCAATTCTTATGAATGATCGATAAAATTTATCAGGGCTGTTTGTTTCCCGGAAAAGAAAAATATACTGGTGGAATATCATTTCATTTGTATCTTGATTTGGGAAAGAAAAAATATCATTGATTGAAAACTATGACTGCAATCAAGAGTTATAGATAACATTTATAGCAAATAATAATTGTTATAGCGAAAAATAACAGTTATGAATGTTAACTGTTATTTTTTGTTCTTGGAAACATTCCTGTTGTGTAATAGAAAAATAAAAGTAAGAGACAAAAAATTCAAAATCGTCATTTTTATGTAAAAGCTATTTTTGTATGATAAGAGACATATTGCAAAAAAAAAAGAAATAAATAAAATTTAAAAAGTTATTTATTATTATTATTTTATTATATTTATTATTATTATATTATATTATACTTATTATTATTATATTATTATTATTAAAAGTTAGTTAGTTACATAAAAATTTAATCAATTTTCTGGAATTTTATTTTTGAGTTACAAAAATTAGGGAGGCAAAATAGCTTCGAGTCACTTTTCTCGAAATCTATCGTAAGACACAGTGCGAAAAAAATAGGACCACCCCGAATAACTTTTGATCTAATAGTTGGATCTTCACGTTCTAGGACTAATCTTCAGATCTACCGAAAAATTCTGTCTGAAAAATTATACAAGGATGCAAAAATTATTTTATATATATAAAAAAAGTGGTAGGTTGTTCTCCTTAAATGTATAAATTAGATGCACCGAAAATTTAGAATTTTTGATGAGGAGTATTTGTAATCTGGAATACATTGTCCTAATAGTTTATTCAAAAGATTGGTCCAAAGTTTTGGCTCCATAATTTTGATTTTTTTTTTGTGCATATTTCGCTATATTTCGGAACATTTTAAAAAAATCGAAAAACTTTTTCAAAGCAGAAGACGAATTAATTTTTCGAAAAAAGAATTAAAAAATTGGTCATCATAGGGTGGCTGTGTAAAAAATTTGTGTAACCTTCCACCTGACCAAATTATCGGAACCTTGCAGGGTTGGGCTACCCCACATATTTTGGTAGCAAAAAATGCTAATCCATCACCAAGGAAAAAAAACATCCTTGTTTATTCAGAGAAACTAAGTTTATTGTTCGATTCTGTGTAACTTTTTTAATACTTAGCATATTTGATGTCATTCTTTTAAACCAATATTTTTCGTGAAAAACTGATCCTTTGAACTAGTCATGGAGGGTGATATTTTTTGTTGCTAGCTGGACTCTTCAAGAAAAGATTTCTCATAAATTGAAAATGCTTCCAAAAAATCAATAAACAATGTTGTCAGACAATGCTACATGATACGTTCTTCAATTTCCATTGCAATGATGTTTCGCGTGGGAGAGACCGAATAATGATTTATTTATCCAACAAACTTTTGCCCGTATTAATTTCTTTTCATATAGTTTCTAAACAGTTGGAATCAAAAGTTTGAAATGAAGATATTGTCTTTCTACAATTTGTCTTTAAGACAAATTGTAACATTTCTAAGAATGCTTCCTTTAGTTTTGATAATAATAGAAAAGCTAAAAATAGAAATTTATATTTTAGATGCATATCACATGTTGAGTTAATAATATCGAACACCTGACACAATAATATAATCTATTGTACATTTCTTATCCTATTTCGATTATAGTTTTACTTGTTAGGTAAAAAATACTGTTGACTTTTTGTGAATTGATTTTGTGCTATTTGGTAACATGAAAAAGAGGTAGGTAACTCATATTCTTTTGGAAATTCGGTACTCTCACAAACGGGCAATACCATTTATACAGTGAGTTCTATATATATTTGACAAAGTTTTAATCACTCATGAAAATATTTTTAAAGAATAAAATATATTTTAAAAATGTCAATAAAATCAAGGTAAAAGTATGTAAATACGAAGGAAATGTTGTAATATAAATAATTATTTTGGTTACCATAATGAAATATATGATCCCGAAATATTTCTAACTTTCTAGTAAATATACATAAATAAATATCAAATTGATCTTATTATTCTTTTTAAATGAAATTCAACTTTGTCAAATGTAGATCCCATGCCTCCTACAAAAATTTATTTTTTGCTTTACATTTACTGTTTTCGTATGAGTTCTCGATTTCTCAGAAAACCTTAACAGTGGTAATAAAAAAGGGAAATGTCTATCACTTCACACCTGACAAACTTCAGCGCGCTTCAAAAAAGTTTCTTCCTAGTGGTAGTGAAATAATTATTGAAGTGATATTGCTTGCAATTACTTAATTTATGTACCTTAGAATTCAAAAGTATTTCGACTACTATTAAATTATAAAAAAATAGTATATATTCACTAAAATTTATTTCTTGCATAAAATTCTCTTTAGATAAACGAATTTTATGATTTTGAGTAAAGTTTTTTCAATTCGCTTAAAAAGGTTTCGAGTTATGGCAAAATATGCACAAAATAAAATTTACACTAGGGGGTCCAAACTTTGGATCGTTCTCCTGATCAAACTATGGGGACCATAATTCCCAGATTGTGGATACCCCTTTTATTTTGGGGGACAAAAATCCGAATCCGTCGAAACAAAGGTATCTTTATTCATAGAAAGTACGTTTTTGTATCTGATTATGTAACTTAAAATATCATCTGCACTTATTAATTAGTATATTTGAATCCTCCCCCCTCGAACAATTAAGATTGAGTCCTAAAATTTGAGGACCTGATCATTAGATCAGAACTTATTCAGAGTGGTCCTTTTTTTGGCGCAGCGTGCATAAATATCGTTCGGGTATTTGTTTAAGTTAGCAGCCAATTTGATTATCCGACTTTCTTCAAAACATTTCAAAACGTTGCAGAAAATAAAAAATAAAAAAAAATTTGTAGGATAATAGCAGACACCTTGGAAGGTTCACCGCGAGGAAGTAACAGCACAGCTTTAACTTAGTATGATTGTGACTATCACTACTTGCAAATAATAGAAGCAATGTAAAAGCAAAAAATTTTAAAGAAAATTGTTGTAAACTTCGGCAAATGAAAAAAATTAATATTTTCTACAACTAGAGATATTCCTCCTGGAAAAAAGTAAAAGTTGGCAAATCTGTAATTGTAAGTTGAGTTGTGTTGATGAAGAGAATAACCTTCTCTGTTCCCTTAAAAGTTGAAATTTCGTTGAGGTTACAGGGTAACGAATATATTTGAGAAAAGAAAAAATTTGGTAAAAAACTGATTCAATGCTGCATTTGCAAAACCTATAATTCCAACAAAGTGGAACTTTATCTGATCTTTTGAATTATCTTTGCGTGACACTAGGCAACAAAAAAAACTTTCCAACTTTACTTCTCCAGAAGAAGTATTTTCCAAATGGTAGTGAAAGACTGGTAGTAATGGAATGAACTGGTAGTAATACTTTTTGAAGCGCTATCGTAGACAATTACTTTATTCACTTTTTCATCATCACTTAATACACAATACGATAACCAGCTGGTCTTTCGTATGTATGTTCAGATTATTCAGATGTAATGGTAGTTGAAATTACATTAAGTCAAATTTGTTATAACACAAATCTAGCATGAATGCTAAAATATTGCTACTGCATTAAATATAAAAATAAAATCTTCCGGAAAATCCGGAAGCGTTGGCACGGACGCACTAAAGCCACTTTGAGGGACTAGACGCATTCTGAATTTTAATATGGCTAACACTTTAGTCATCACCGTTAACTTATCACTTTTTGTAGCTTAACATATTCCTTCTACTTCTTTTGATTTTTGAGCTAAGCACCTGGGCTGCTCAGCGACCCCTATCCCATCCATCATGTTTATTTTAATAATTGTGGTAGAATTTCAAGGTCAGCAGTCTATGTGGTGGCTGTTACTGACTGGAAAGTGTTACTGACAAACAGGGGTGAAAGCGAGACGGAAAAGAGGAAAGGCTGGTAGTAAAACCATTTCAGTTATAGCTAGTTTTGGGGAGGAGTTTACTTATTCTTTTTTTAAATTTTTCAACAATATCTACTTTGTCTTGGACTAGAAGCAGTTTATTATATATGCCAGAATTATAAAAGAAATCTTGATAGTTACAGATATTTCATTTTTTTTGAAAAAAATGTTGGAATGAAATGTTTTACGTACCAGGTTTTTCTCTATTCCGTCTTGCTATATAAGGGCTTTCACCCATGCTGACAAAGTTAGCGCTAAAGTATGAAGTTAGTAAATTTATCGCGGTTGATATTATACCTATTACTAGCACCGAAACAAATATCTATGAAGTTTGAGCTGCTATCAAGAGAATTAAATCAAGAGAGTAGCAAAATGTGATAACATAATAAATTTATTAAAAGTAGTGAACTTTTATATTTTCTTATATTTAAAGTAGTACAACACTTTACTCTCAACAACGATTATGATATCCCTAATTATCAACATGAATGAAGTTATTAATTCTTATTCTTATTCTTATTATTATTAATTATTATTATTATTAATAATAATTAATATTATTATTAATTATTATTATTATTATTATTATTATTAATTATTATTTTTATTATTATTATTATTATTAATTATTAATATTATTAAATATTAATATTATTAAATATTTCCTGCAGTTAATAAGAGACTTAAATGGAAAAAGGCACTAGAATGTAATAAATAATTTATGAGGAAAGTTGTGAACTTTTATGGTTTTTAATATTTAAAATAACACAATAATTTACCCTCAACAGCGAGTATGATATTCCTAATTATCAACATCCGTTTTTACATTTAACCAAATAAGTTATGATTAGATATAGCTACTGCATTAATCAACATAGTATGAGAAAATAAAAAAGTGACACAAAGAGAAAATATTTATTCAGTAATAAACATTCTACACAACTATTAGACACATTTTAGTGAAAAACTAAGTGAATTTACAGC